ATTCCTTTCTCTCCTTACCGTTCATCAATATATCCACCCTACCTCCTCTTGAAATATTATCTTGACATCATTTTTTTTCCAGTCAATTTTATAGAGACTCCCGTTCTTTTTTACCCTTGCTTTCTCTGTCCGGGTTTACTACATGTCTTTCTAATAACACTACTGTAGGAAATCAATAAAATTGTTTCTCCTCTTGTTTCAAGTACTTCACTTCTAATATCTTATTTTCTCTCAAATTATAATCTACGACATGCAATGTACAAATTTCTGAGACTTTTTTCTAAGACTTTTTTCTAAGACTTTTTTCTGAGACTTTTTCTAAGACTTTTTTCTAAGACTTTTTTCTGAGACTTTTTCTAATACTTTTTTCTGAGACTTTTTTCTGAGACTTTTTCTAATACTTTTTTCTGAGACTTTTTTCTAAGACTTTTTTCTGAGACTTTTTTCTGAGACTTTTTTCTGAGACTTTTTCCCCTCCTCCACCAGACAATGTCGTTGTCGAGCTTTTATTATTCAGACACTAATTTTATAGTTTTTTTTTCTGAAAAAATCTTTGCCACGATTTTAGAGTACACACGGGGTTTGATCCAACCAACCTTTTTCAAGGTCTAATCTCATACCTTTTCCAGCCCACAAGATATATCATAATATAACCGTTCCATATTCGCAGATGTGGTGAAAATAGCTTGTACGTCTTGCCTTGTTCCTAAAGCGCTACCATTGCGCCCAATCAAAATGAATCCGAAAAAAAAAAAAATAAAAAAAAAAAGAGGAAGAAAAAAAAAAATTTCCAAACTCTTTATTTCCAAACTCTTTATTTCCACTCTTTGTTCTTCTTTATTTTCCACAACGATGTTCAAGAGAATCCTGAGTTATTTGCCATCTCGTTTGGCATTCACTACTTGTCCTCGTCCTGTGTTATCTAGAGGGTATGCTGCTTTTAATCGTGCTAAGCCACACGTGAATGTCGGTACGATTGGTCACGTTGATCATGGTAAAACTACTTTGACTGCTGCCATTACTAAAGTCTTGTCTGAAAAAGGTCAAGCGGCCTTTTTGGATTATGGCTCAATCGATAGAGCTCCAGAAGAAAGAGCAAGAGGTATCACTATCTCTGCTGCCCATGTTGAATATGAAACTGATAAAAGACACTACGCCCATTCAGATTTACCAGGTCACTCTGATTATATCAAGAATATGATTACTGGTGCTTCTCAAATGGATGGTGCAATTATTGTTGTTGCTGCTACAGACGGTCAAATGCCACAAACTAGAGAACACATGTTATTGGCAAGACAAGTTGGTATCCAAAACTTGGTGGTCTACGTCAACAAAATTGATACCATTGATGACCCGGAAATGTTGGAGTTGGTTGAAATGGAAATGAGAGAATTGTTGGCTTCTTATGGATTTGATGGTGAAAACACTCCAGTTATCATGGGTTCTGCTTTGTGTGCTTTGGAAGGTAGAGATCCGGAAATTGGTGTGAAATCTATCGAAAAGTTATTGGATGCTGTCGATGAACATATTCCAACCCCAGAAAGACACGCAGACCAGCCATTCTTGATGCCTGTTGAAGATGTGTTCTCCATCTCAGGAAGAGGTACTGTTGTTACTGGTAGAGTCGAGAGAGGTAGCTTAAAGAAAGGTGAGGAAGTTGAAGTTGTTGGTGAAAAATCTTTCAAAGCTACTTCAACCGGTGTGGAAATGTTTAAAAAGGAATTGGACGCTGCCATGGCTGGTGACAACTGTGGTATCTTGTTGAGAGGTGTTAAAAGAGACGAAGTCAAAAGAGGTATGGTTTTGGCTAAACCAGGAACTTGTACTCCACACCAAAAATTCTTGGCTTCCATTTATATCTTGACAGCCGAAGAAGGTGGTCGTAGCACCCCTTTCGGCGAGGGTTACAAACCACAATGTTTCTTCAGAACCAGTGACGTCACTGCTACATTCTCTTTCCCCGAGGGTGAAGGTGTTGACCACTCCCAAATGGTCATGCCGGGCGATAACATAGAAATGGTTGGTACTTTGATCAAAAAGGCTCCATTGGAATTGAACCAGCGTTTCAATATTAGAGAAGGTGGTAAAACCGTTGGTACAGGAATGGTCACGAGAATCATCGAGTAGACTCTATGTATATATATTCTGTAAATAAAAATATAACCGTTTTGACAAGGTTTCTTTTTTTTTTTTTTTTTTTTTTTTTTTTTTTTTTTTTTTTTTTTTTTCTTTTTTTTCTTTCCTCCCCTTCCTCCTCTCTCCATNATATAACCGTTTTGACAAGTTTTTTTTTTTTTTTTTTTTTTTTTTTTTTTTTCTTTTCTTTCTTTCCTCCCCTTCCTCCTCTCTCCATCTATGTTGTTAAAGCATAAACTTGTCAAACCATTCACAAATTTAACAAAACAGGAGCGGTTCCTCCAATTGCTTAGGCTAAGCAGCTCATGCTTTGCAATTGTGTTTTGCCTAACATTGCTTGTTGGCCCCATTTTCAATAATAATCTTTATATAACAAGGATAAATTGTGCCCATTTGGATGTTTCAAAAGGACTATACAACTCATTGAGAAACTCAGTTGGAGTGGCTCCTTCTATTCTAGAAGACAGTGATACAGAATGTATACCTGTGGGGAGCAGCTTGACCAATAGCGAAATCAAGTTGCTATCAGAATATGCCGAGGCGCAAGTTGTTGGTGCTCCACAATACTGCACAACATCCATCTGGAAGTGGTGCTATGGTAATTACCAGTCACGCAAAACCACAAACAGTAAAGGGAAAACTATTACAATAAAGGAAAACGAGGTTTTAACCTGCTTCAAGAAGAAGGAACACGCCTTTGATTACAGATCTCAGTTGGAAGATATGCAACTTGATAGTATATTGGCTTATGCATACCAGGGCCAAGACATGAAGAACTCAAAGTATGATCAAGATATAATACAAAGAAACCACAGACTCAAACTTGCATTGAATGGTATTATATTCACTTGCTGTGCCCAATTGATGATCCTCTGCGCTGCTTTAATAATCTACTCCAATCGAGGCAAAAACGAAAGAGATCTAAGCAAAATACCAAATATTACTTTACACGGTTTGGCGTTGGTCTCAGTAATGGCTTGTTGCAGTTCAATAATAGCACTGGCCTTGATTACAAACTTGTTGATGATTTCAGAGAAAGAAGTTGGCAGCGAGTTGAAAAATTTCGGTGTCTTTTTCACTAGAGGCGCAACATGGTTCACTCTTTTATGGTTATCCTCCGTATGCTGTGTACTAACTATGGCAGGCTGGGCCTTGCCAATGTGGTGTGCTAACCCATCTGAGGAAAAACATCGACATAGATTAGACGACTCTATACTAATAGGTAAATATACTCAATACTTTTGAAAAATTTGAAAAATTTGTATTTTTTTTTTTTTTTTTTTTTTTTTTTTTTTTTTTTTTTTTTTTTTTCTTTTTTT